ACAGGGCGGGGTCACACTGGGAGGGTTTCTGGCACTGCAACGCTCCTGCTCCCTCTGAGAAACTTCCTTTAAAGGACTAAAATGGAACAAAAGGTATAAATAAATAATTCCAAGAGGGAAAATAGTCTGCAAAAAACCCCAGTTCCACATGGGCCTGGATGCTGATCCTCACTGCTGTCAGTGAGAGATCTGCCAGGTCAGATTTCAAACTGCTTTATTGAAACAGGAAACTGGTTTGTTCCTTCCTGAGAGCTGGGAGTGTGTCTGAGCCTTTGCATGGGCAGAGCCCCTCCAGATTTTCCAGCTAGGAAAGAGCTGGGAACTCTTTCACAGCACAGTCCTGGAGGCACCAACAACCCAATGCTGTGGGGAAACAGAAGAATGTCTGCTCTGATTTTTCTCTTCCCCTTTCTCCCACAGCTGTTTCTGTGTTCCTGACTTCCATTTACGTCGGGGACACGTGGCTGGGAGCACAGCAGCCGGATCTGTTCCTCACCCACGCCAGACTGGTCTGCTCTAGTGCAGATTGGGAATTACAGGGTGGCCGGGACACTCGGAAACAAGGGGAAGAAACTCTTGTGTCTCTTTGCAAAAAGATTTGGCTCCATCAGGGCAATAATTCAGGGGACTGACATTGATCTTCAGCGTTCTTCTGTGCCCTGTCCTCAGCACCGTGAGCCCTGCGAGCCTCCTGAGCTGTTCTCATCCAGACCTGCCTTGTTTGGGCACAAAAATCACTATTTTATGACTGGGTGCAAACTCAGGGGAGATTTTATTCACCATCTCTCAGAGGGACATTAAAGTTCCAGTTTCCCTCTCCTTGAACAGCTTGAGAGACAGTACTGCTTATATAATTTTTATTACAGGCATTTTTATCTTTCTGAAGAAGCAGAGAGTCTGTTTGTGCACGTGTGTGCCCTTAGTATCCATCCTCTCTAAAGCAGGACAGGAGAAAAAGGCCGCAGAGCTTCCCACAACGGGGTGTGAGTGCCAAGAACGAGGAGACAGAAGCAGACTGGACTCGGGGATCAGGATGGTCTGCTTGGGTTTAAAAAGCTTGAATGGCACTTCAAGACATTTATATCAGATGTGGTTTATTTTTATTATCCTTTTTTAAAATAAAATAAAATTCAAAAAATTAAAGCCCTGATCCATGGGCTGCTGCTGCCATGTGCGACACAAACCCATCTTCCCTCTGCCCAGAACAGGTGAGAGATGGAACTGAACCCCAAAGGATTTTCAGTGATTATCCATGAGTTTTATTGGGAACTCTCAGGGAAATCTGATCCATTGTTCCTCAGTGTGGCTGTGAGGGTGGTTGAGCAGCCAGTCCAGACCTGCAAACACAGCAGTGCCACAGTGAGAGGCTTGGAATTGTAAACCAGGGTTTATTCAATTGAACCACAGCTGTGTGCTGTGCCCAGGTCCATTGTACAAATAGTTTACAGGGAAAAACCAGAACTGCACATTGCTTGTAATATGGATGGAATTTTGGGGGGGTAAATAAAGTCGAGATGCAAATGAGGGAATTGTTTGAATGTGTAAATATTCTTATCCTAAAAGAGCCCTCAGCTCTGTCCCGAGAGTTGAGTTCAAATGACATTTCTTTACAAACCCGCAAGCCTTTTGGAGAGTGCAGTTTGTGTCCCGCCCTCAGGGAGCCGAGCTGAGCCGAGCCGACGGAGCGAGCGGCTCCGAGTTCGGCCGAAACGAACCGAGCTCAGCCGAACACTCAGAGCGGCTCCGAGTTCGGCCGAAACGAACCGAGCTCAGCCGAACACTCAGAGCGGCTCCGAGTTCGGCCGAACCCAG